GGTGGTCTCGTCGCGGAATGGTGGTCTCGTCGCGGAATGGTGGTCTCCTCCCGGCTGTGTTTTCAGGGTATTCCATCATTCCTTAATCGGCTTTCCCTGAGCCCAGGAGCCATTAAGTGAACAGTGATGAAGTTTGTCTTAATTTTACCTTTTTGTAATATGAATGACTTCTGCCATTGAAGTAGACACTGCAGTGGGGCAACTTATAAAACCTTTCACTGTATTTTTCAAGTAAAAGTACACGTGGCAATAAATTTCTGTTCTATTCTATTCTCTCTAATTTCAATACGCCACTGGCATAGAACCTGGTTCACAACCCGTGGCCGGAGACAGCTGGCCTATGGGAAAGTGAAGTCCAACAAAGTCAGCAGCTCCTGGAGTTGGTCACCAAAGACCAAGATGGCCAGCATCTGTTGACCATGCGTAAGCTCACCATCCTGATTTAAACCAGGTGAAAAATACATGAAGGCTCACTGCGCCAATGTTTTAGTTGAAAAGACACAAAATGTGGACCTTTACGGTTATGTTTTATGCCGCAGAAACTGCAGTGTCATCTCTACATATCTCCAAGTCTAAACAAGACCTTTAAAACTCCCATGTTTACAGCTTACTGCTGCCGGCTTTCAGTTTGCTCTATGTTTCTCCAACTGAACCCACAGATTTGACGAACAGCAGGCCACAAATAGGCACACATTAATTAAACACCAAACAATTGAACGATTGAAAACTGCACTGACATTCTGAATTGGTGTCACAGATACACTGCATACACAACATCAGATGATCTGAGCATAAGACATGGACAAGGCATGGCATTTTTTAAAAAAAGCACATTGAAATGCTATGAAAACTCTCCCTGAACAGCACTGTACATTTTATTATGTCTGTTCATCAAATCCAAGCAGTTTCATTGTATCGTCACCATGACTGGTCTAACTGAGAACGTGAACTTCTGGTCAATGATAAACAAGTACATTTTCATAATCACAGCACATTGAAGGTTAGAGACAACAAGGTGCAGAGCTGGATGAACACAGCAGGCTAAGCAGCATCATAGGAGCAGAAAGGCTGACGTTTCGGGCCCGAAACGTCAGCCTTTCTGCT